CATTGGAGACAAGGATAATAGTTTGTTTGAAAGAGAAAAGAACAGGCTTTGAAGTAAGCCTAAAAGCGTTTAACTAGAAATAGTATTTCGAAAGTTATTAAGCATAAAAGATGAATTGCGTTTATTTTGATACACCCTGTATATATGTATATATATATATATATATATATACACATATATATTTGATTCCTTTCAACAGCTTAAGCTTGATCTTATTCTGTTTCATATATAAGCGCGCGGTTTAAACCGATAGAAACTAATAACATAATTGATTCAGTTATATATACTCAACTGCATGGTGGATCACAGACACAGGGTCAGCGTGCTCTTTTAAATCTTAAGCTCGAATAAAAGTATGAAATATCTGCAACAACAAAAAATCTTTTCAAAAGGAAAATAAGGGGACTAATGGGGCGAGCCAACATGTCTTTATTTATATTTACATTTGTCATTTCCTCTGAAAACATGAAAACTATATAAATGTACTGTATATATAGGGGCAATTAATCTATGAACCAGTAAAGCCATCTTAAAATCTAAATTGGATAATAAGAGTTTTTCAGGACTCAAATGACTCGGCTGACAAATCTGAGAGTGTTGGATTGTCTCGAAAATAATTTACCAAGACACTTTGAATAGTGGTTGCAAGACTTTTTTTATTAAGGAAATATAACTTCTCCGACATCAGAAGGCCGGCAAGGATGATGAAGCAATTTTAATGTCACCGCGTAGGTTTCAAACTTGAGTTAAAAATCGTGCACCTGGGCTTGTATTCTATCACTGCGCAGGACTAGTAAACTTATCGAGCGACATATGAAGTGGTAGCGGGTGTTCAACCATTTTCTAAGCCAAAATTTTGTCTGAATGCCAGTCACCCGACCCATGATTACTGCCAAATTCCATTCTCAACAGGAAACTTTCTGTGTTGCTGCATGGTACAAATGGCACAAATCCCATTCTTATAGTGATCCAAATTCTATTTTTCCGGTGAGAATATAGGCTACACCCATTTTGTTGACCCCTTCATGCACGAGCTTCATTACTAATACGTATATACAACGGAGCTGCCTTCTTAATTATTATTAAGTGTAATGAATGTTTTCTTCGCTCAAACTATCCCTTTAATGGTGAAAAAAATATGTTTGATCTATATTATGTGTGTTTACTAAACATATGCACTTCGGCTCCGCGCATCCTAGTGCTTTAAATGTCCGATTATATACATCAAGTATTACAATTGCTTATATTACATACTCTGTCTAGACAATTTATCTTTACAACATTGTGACGTACATTACTTTCTTAGCTATGTTTATCCAAATCAACCCTGCAAGTCCCACGATTTTCGGCGGTACACCGTTGACCCTTTTCGCGAAATACAGCCAAGTCAATATAGTCATAATAACGGTGGCCGGACAGTTTGCCGAAAGACACTTTGCCGAAAGACATTTTGCCGAAAGACATTTTGCCGAACGGACTTTTTGCCGACAGACGTTTTGCCGAATGGACGTTTTACCGAACGGACGGTTTGCCGAAAATAGAGATATCTTCTGAACTTTATAGGTTTGCTTACACGGTCAAAATTTCTGTGATTAAAGTCATTGGCGATTTTGTGATGACAGAAACTTTGATAGTGAAGATAGTTTCGTTTTATATCTTTTGAGTTTTTGACAAGTTTACCGAAATTTCGCGATAAAAAGAATAACATTCAACATCATTCATGAATGCGATTTCCCCGAAAATTGCGAATGTATTCCATGATTCTCGAAGTGAAATTCGCTTACGTCGTTGTCTTCGTATACGCTTGTTTGTTTACGACCTGACGTGAAAACACGTTTCTAGCAAATGAGTCATCCGCTGCACAAACAAGCTACCAATAGTCAATATGGTTATGTTCTGCTAACGACCATTATGCACTGCTAATGACCATATAATGGTTATTTTACATAATGGTTGGGAATTACAAAGTTGAGAAATGAGGCACAGTCCCAAACATTTTGACGAAATAGCGTCTCTATTTTCGGCAAGTTGTCCTTTCGGCAAACTGTCCATTCGGCAAAATGGCCGTTCGGCAAAATGTCCATTCGGCAAAACGTCCGTTCGGCAAAACGTCCGTCGGCAAAATGTCTTTCGGCAAAATGTCTTTCGGCAAAGTGTCTTTCGGCAAAATGTCCGGGTACCATAATAACTAACAGTATAATCTAGGGTAATAATATTATAATTACTTCACACTGCATGTTTGTTGTGGACATTATGTTGAAAATAAATTTATTCGGTTAAATATAATTCTCTGACCGTTCTAAGGCACATAGTAGGTGTCCCTCGTGCCCTTCCGTTTCAGGAACCTCTTTATGAAGCTGGAGATAGTATTCAAATACATTATAACGATTATATAAGGAATTAACCTGTACTTATTTCGCAAAAATATTTGGACTTTGATGATTTTACTGAATTTTACGAAGATATGAACCTGCGTAGTTGCTAGCTTAACTAAAATCATATAGCGATATCGTCATGGTTAAATCTGGACCTGCCTATATATAAAGATCAAGTTATCTCATCTCGTAGTATATAGCAATAGACAATCTTTCGTTTCAAGAAAATTCTTTCACTTTGCTGAGTCTTCATTGTTATGCAAGAAATATCAAACTATGACAAAACACATTTCCTTGCCAGTTGTGAGGCACTTTCCGGCAGCGAGAGCAACTCGAAGAAAATATTAATTTGGGGAAATTAACCTCTCAGAGAAAATTCATTTGGTAAGTTGCATGCAACTGACTATCAAACTAATTGATGCGGTACGTATACTGTTTGATTCCTCTACAGTTTTATTTGATTCCTTTCAACGGGCTTTACGTTGATCTGTTTGGTTTGAACGGATAGAAACTAATAACATAATTGATCTATTCTCGACTGGTGGGTCCGCGCGCTCTTATAAAAAATTGCTATATCTTAAGCTCGAATAGAAGTATGGACTTTCTGCAACAGCAAAAAATCCTTTGAAATGGGAAAAAAGGGAATATGGGGCGAGCCAAGATGTCTAATTTATTTATATTTGTCATTTCCTCAAAAAAGAACTATATATAGATGCATGTACTGTATAGGAGTATACTTAATCTATGAACTAGTAAAGCCGCGTCTTAAAATCTAAATTGGATAATAAGAGTTTTTCAGAATTTAAATGACTGACAAATATAACCGCTCACTATATTGGATTGTTTCGAAAATAAATTACCAATACTTTGATTGACTTCTCCGACATCAGTGAAGGACGGCAAGAATGATGAAGCAATTCTTATGTCACAATTATTAAAAATCGTGCACCTGGGCTTGCACTCTGTCACTGTGCAGGACTATGTTTTTACTGAGTGACATGAAATGGGAGCTGGTGTTCAATCCCATTTTTTCAGCCAAAATATCGTCTGAATGCCAGTCACTCGACCCAATCATTTGCCAAATTCCATTCTCAACAGCAACATTGCTTTTACAAATGGTACAAATCCCATTCTTAGTGATCCAAATTCTAATTTCTCAGTGAGGATATATGCTACATACGTATATACCCATTTTATTGACCCCTTCATGCTCGAGTCTCATTACTGATACTACATACCGGCCATGGAGCTGTCTTCTTAATTATTATTGTAGCCATGTGTGTTTTGTGAAAGTTTTAGAGCGATTCAGTGCAGAATACCCGTCCACTTTTGAAGACCCGCTAGAAATATCGGTGGCTATACGTGGCCACGCAGTGCCGGCGGAGTTTTTGAAAGAACGAGGCATTGACATAATGACGTAATCATACTAAAGTGTAGATATATTTCTTAGTGGCTACGCGGCTACGCAGTGAGTTTTTAAAAGAACGAGACATTGATATAATGACGTAATTGTAAGGAAGGTATAAATTTTAGTGGCTACGTGGCTACGCAGTGAGTTTTTAAAAGAACGAGACATTGATATAAGGACGTAATTGTAAGGAAGGTATATCTTTTTAGTGGCTACGCAGCTACGCAGTGAGTTTTTAAAAGAACGAGACATTGATATAATGACGTAATTCTAAGGAAGGTATGTTTTTTAGTGGCTACGCGGCTACGCAGTGAGTTTTTAAAAGAACGAGACATTGATATAATGACGTAATTGTAAGGAAGGTATATTTTTTAGTGGCTACGCAGTGAGTTTTTAAAAGAACGAGACATTGATATAATGACGTAATTCTAAGGAAGGTATGTTTTTGTGGCTACGCGGCTACGCAGTGGGTTTTTAAAAAAACGAGACATTGATATAATGACGTAATTGTAAGGAAGGTATATTTTTTAGTGGCTATATATACGTGGCTACGCGGCTACGCAGTGAGTTTTTAAAAGAACGAGACATTGATATAATGACGTAATTGTAAGGAAGGTATAAATTTTAGTGGCTACGTGGCTACGCAGTGAGTTTTTAAAAGAACGAGACATTGATATAAGGACGTAATTGTAAGGAAGGTATATCTTTTTAGTGGCTACGCAGCTACGCAGTGAGTTTTTAAAAGAACGAGACATTGATATAATGACGTAATTCTAAGGAAGGTATGTTTTTTAGTGGCTACGCGGCTACGCAGTGAGTTTTTAGAAACACGAGACATTGATATAATGACGTAATTGTAAGGAAGGTATATTTTTTAGTGGCTACGCAGCTACGCAGTGAGTTTTTAAAAGAACGAGACATTGATATAATGACGTAATTCTAAGGAAGGTATGTTTTTTTGTGGCTACGCGGCTACGCAGTGAGTTTTTAAAAGAACGAGACATTGATATAATGACGTAATTGTAAGGAAGGTATATTTTTTAGTGGCTATATATACGTGGCTACGCGGCTACGCAGTGAGTTTTTAAAAGAACGAGACATTGATATAATGACGTAATTGTAAGGAAGGTATAAATTTTAGTGGCTACGTGGCTACGCGGCTACGCAGTGAGTTTTTAAAAGAACGAGACATTGATATAATGACGTAATTGTATGGAAGGTATATTTTTTAGTGGCTACGTGGCCACGCGGCTACGCAGTGAGTTTTTAAAAGAACGAGACATTGATATATTCCGTTATACTTCCTTGATATTGTAATTTGATAGCGCGTGACTGCGTAGCCACGAAGCCGCGTAGCCACTGGAAATGTAGCTACGCAGTGAAAAATGACTAGTGGATGGGTATTCTACAATTTAGCCGATCCACAACAACAAACAGTGTAATAGTTAATTATTATTGTTATATAGCTAGCGTGAACACCAAACGTGATTGGCTGATTTGTGGTCACGTGACTTAGATAAATGCAATGTTTCCCGCCGGACAACAAGTGAAAAATTGTTGCCCGCCCCGACCGGCCACGTACATAAATAAACAAAATGGAGGCACAACTCAGATAATTAAAAACTACGATTTTCCAAGTTTGTGTTCAAATAAAGGAATATAAAAGAGAAGAAAAATACACAACAGGCAACAGGATATACTGCTGAAACCGTTTAAGTAGGTTCTTTTAATTTTAAACTCGTTTACACTATAGAGTTTTTGTCACGAAATACAATTGTTGTATGAATGTTGTTGAAGTTGATATTTGTTCGTCGCTATACAGGGTGTATAAAAAAAAACGCAACCTCGGAATTTCCTAAGAAATTACTTTGCAATTCTTAAGCATAAAAGATTTTAAGCCGCTGGGAATTGAAATCGAATTGCTAATAGATCTTATTACTGTTGTTGTGCATTAAATAAATGCATAAATTTTGCTTTATGCACTCGCGTGTGCAATAATTTTGACAGTTGTGCTATTTTAAATTCCCAGGCGCCTAAAATCTTTTGTCTTTAAAACAATGTCGATTTCTTGGGAAATTCCGAGGTTGCGTTTTTTTTTTATACACCCTGTATATAAATGCATAAATTTTGCTTTACGCACTCGCGTGTGCAGTAATTTTGATAGTTGTGCTATTTTGAATTCCTAGGCACCTAAAATCTTTTGTCCTTAAAACAATGTCGATTTCTTGGGAAATTCCGAGGTTGCGTTTTTTTATACACCCTGTACAGGGTGTCTCAAAAAAACCCAAAATCATTGAAATTGACGTATTGTTCGATATTCAATGCCCTAGCACTAAGT